TAATCCTAAACAAACATAAGACACCTAACTCTTCGAATAAAAGTTCAGATATTTCCCGTTGACGATTTTGTATGATAACAACTAATCCTAAGCAAACATAAGACACCTAACCACTAGAGTAAAGGTTGCGATATCTCCCGTTCAGGATTTTTTAACATCAGACGGAGATACCAGCACACGATTTAGTAATTCTCTCATAGTCCAGATTAAAACTGGAAGGACACATAAAGTTTGACCATCGGTTTCGTCTACCTCAAATCTAAAGTTAACTCAAATTTCGAACTGAAAATAATGAAAAGTAGTTGCAAATTCTTATTCGATATATGTATTTCAAGAAATATCCCTATAAATACCTTGTTTAACATGAATAAACATAAGCTAGAAAGAATGAAAACATTTCCAATAATAATTGCTCTTAAGTGTAAAGTAGTTAGGTTTATCTTACTGACTGCTGGAGTATACTACCTATAGTACAAACATATAGCGGTTTATGGTTGCGTAATAACATAACATATAATAATATTGCTTTTAACTCCGCAGGAGTCCTTTCTTGTGCAAATAATTATAAAAAATAGGTAAATTCGATTGATTGACTGCTTAAGAGCACTTAAAGAAACCAATAAAGGTTTACAGTTTATTAATTTTTTAAAAATGAATTTTAAGAATGGAATAGCAGATAAGATCTTAAAAACTAATAAAATTTCATAAATATGCTACAATGAAAAAATTTATTACTTTTTACCAAGTTGATTTAGTCTGTGAAGCCTAAAATAAAAAATATATGTTTATTTCTATATTGAAATTTATAAATAAATTATAAGACATATTTTAAGAAAAAAAACTGTCCCTAAAACTTAGAATATAGATGTATTTTATTGATAACTACTAGTTCACATATATGTAATTAAAAGTAATTAAATGTATAATCTACAGAACTTCTGTTCTCTAACGAAATCAAAAAACAAATTTACATTTCTAAATCTGAATTTCAAAGCATCATCAGAATTTCAACGCAATGGATCTTATAGATTATGTTGTACCATTGTTCCTTATAATGACAATAATAATGTGGTTAAATACATGTACAGAAGCTGTTAAACGAACTAAAAAATATTATATAGGTAAGCTTTCTAAGATTTTATATAAATTATTTTGAATTGAGTTATTTATGTTTAACGTTCTCCTGCCTTCACAAAGAATATACAGTTAAATGATTATTTAAGCTGATCTGAACTAAATTTAGTGTTTTAGAAGACTCTTACTACTTATTTTTTAGATTGTGTATTTGGCTTCACTTTAAGTAAGTTAAGAAGGATCAATATTAGGCATGAAATCTTAAATTAGAGCCGTCTAAAAATGCCAAGAATGAGACTCCACGCTAGAAGTAGCAAAACTTAGTTGACAAAGCTTAAAATCACCCAGATATGTTATTCCATAAAATGATGACGCTGATATAAAAATGTCAACCGAGTAAATGTATTTTTCGTAATAATGCAATATATAATAATATGCGTTTAAATACTACACATAGAGAGAGTGCAATCGTATAAAGATCATCAGCTAGCTATGAGTTAACTATCTCAAAACTATAACTAGTTTTTACTGTTAACATGTAATGTTAAATAAAAAAAAATGGTTTGAGAAAAATTTATTCCTGAAAAAAGCTTTCTTACACAAATATTTGTATCTGAATCCCTAGCTCATGTCTCAAACGTCGCCAAATTTTTACAAATTGATAAGATAAGGAATAACTACTTTAGAATCAATTTTTAGCGGAGACTTTTAATATAATTTGTGATACTTATTATCCTCATTTGATGAAAATGTAGTACAAAGTAAAAATTTATAAACATTAAAAACGATTTTAATGATATTGACATAGTATACTAAATGTAATTCACAATACTATATTATCTATTTCTAAGAGGTTCTAACTAAACCTCTTAATATATGTATTATGAAAATAAAAAATCGAAAATTATTTACTTTATGGAATTTTGATTGATTTTAATCATTCGGACAAATGTTTAAGTTACGTACTCAAGAAGTCTATGGAGAAAATATAACCAAACCCGACAAAGATCTTTAGATCGTTTGGTCGTGTTCTATCGGCTCCAGCATGTAGACCCAGATATTTCTGGTACTATTTTTATTCTCTTTTTTAATATAATGTTAATCAAAATTGTTAACAATTGATAGTTCACCCTGCATACAAATTTATATACAGTTACTGAAGAACAGTTCTTCAGATCTTAAAAACCATTAACATTTTAAAGATATTTTTAAAATATTAAAGATAATATATATTTTTAAAATTAAACAGGAAAACAAGAATTAAATACCAATACAAAAAAGTATAATACAATTAATTATTTTTAATTTGCAAATTTTTCATATTTCTTTGATGGATTTATAAACATCTTTACTTCCCATTCCAAACATTTAGAACTCTTGATTTTCATTTGAGTTTGCATCTAAGAAGAATATTGATTTTTATTCAAAAAAGAATAGCGCATATTTTTCGAATTGTCACATACAAATTGAAATAATTAAAAAGTTTTAATTACAAAAAGTTTCTGTTATGACAAGAATGGATTGTATCACTTTGCAAAGGCAAAGGACTCGCAAAAATTCTTTTAGATTTTCTTATGTTCGCGCATGACTGGATTGAGATTTTTTCCCGATACTCTTTTGTGCTAACAATTCCATTTCACTGCAGGATATGCAAAAAGTATTTCAGTTCCTCAAAAAGCTGTTCCTTAAAAATATGAGATTGAGCATCTGTAAAATTAATTTCTAAACTGAAATAAATGAATTCATAACTTTTGAATACGTGATTATCATTATATTTTATCAATAATCGTTGAAGCACATAAATTTATTCGATTAATTCAAAAATAAGCATTTGAAGTTGAGATTTCTAAAAACAAAAGATACGTAATTAATCACTTTAAATATATTTTCAAAATTTGTGTGCTGACACATTTGTGTAATTTTCAAAGTTTTTTGGGTGGCGCTATTGACTACTGTAACCAAATCCATACTTCACTGAATACTTAACAATTTTTTTTGAATTTTTCTTTTTTTAAGTATTAAAAGTAAATCAGGGCGTCTACTAAGTTAAGACTTCAGGCAATGTAGCTTTTGTCTTGTTTTTGTTTTTTTTTTATAATTGAAATTTATTTTTTTTATTTTTAATAATAGAAATACGAAGTAAAATGTAAACAAAAAATAAAATTAATATATTAAAGCAGAAATAAGTATTACTTTTGTAATATATATAGATTTCTAAGTTACAAAAATAATTTTCAACTAGTATTAATATTAATATTAAAAAAATGTATGTTATATATATTGATATATGAAGGATTGGATAATGTTTCCAATTATATAATTTATAATTTCAAAAAAACATTTATAATTAAATAACTACAATTCTAAAATAAAATTTTTTAAAGAAATAATTAACAGATAAATATATCATCAGTATAATAATATAACAAGAAGATAATATAAGAGAGGAAATATATAATAGGTCACATTTAGGATATATATATTGCATCTCTATAGCAAAAGAACTAAAGTGATGTTGTCTTTTATATTAAAAACATGTTATATTTGTTAAATATATATAAATTAAAATTTGGTGATAATACATATAGCATAAAATAGAAAATAAAATAATTTTTCAGTTTAACACTTAATTTTTTATATAAAAAATTTGTTTTTTCTATTTTCTTACTTCTTTTATTAATAATATGCATAAATTCTTTAAGGGCCTCAAAGCGCATTATTTTTTTTATAAAAAATTCATTATTTATATTTATAAATGATCAAAGGTAATGTTATTTGTGTGAACAATGTTTCATTAACTTTGTAGTTACTTTTTTTTAATAAAAAGTAGCATCTGGCCGAATTTTCTGCTTCTGTTCATTAAAAATAACATTTCACATAATACATGAGCTACAAATTCAGGGATAAGAATTTCTCTAGAGAAAAGCCTAATAAGTGGATATCAAATAATTAGATATAAAATTGTTTTGCAATAATAACATAGTCTGAAGTAAAATGAATTACATGTTGCAAAAGAATATATCATCATTAAGGTTATAGTATGGCAGTTTTTATAATTACGCAAATATTACTATAACATTAATAACAAAATATACATTATTTACCCACTTAAAATCGATAGTAAAACTGTATTTATGGCGCGGTTTTTATGTATTAAAATAAAAACGGATCTTTAGAAGCTACTTTAAAAATAATACTTTATAGTGTATTTTTAGAATGTGTTCATTAAATCTGTAGTTTCTAATATATTGTTAAAATTTATTGTAATTAATTTTTTAAAAAATAATTACAAAAAATTTAACAATTTTGATGCGATATTTTCTAAAAAGCATTATTTAAAACTTATAAGCAAGTTTAAATAAAGGTTTCTATAAACAATAAACGTTATAAAGGATTTATTATGTAATTGGTATAATACAATATTTAAAATTGATTTCTAATATCAACTATAAATTATTTTTTTTAATAACACCTGAACTGCTTGAAATATATTACTTCGCTTAAGGCTCTGATTATCGTCCAAATGAATTTTAGACAAGCAAACATCCCTGTGCTTTGATTTTATTCATTTAAAAACTCTGAACAAAAAAATTAAATTGGTGAATATTAACTAAAAGCGCCTTTTTAAACATTATTAAATATTTGTAATTTAAAATAATGAAAAGTGTAAAGTAATAATTTATACTATTTATAAAAATTGACTTAAGAAAATAAATTTCTGATAGGGCCTGAAGCCTCTTAAAGATATCTATCCTTAAAAAGATAATTGAGCATTGGTAAACTAAACAAACATCCTGCAATTGTTTTAAAATATGTATTTATATAAATACTAATCGAATACTATATAGTTGAGAATATGTTTTTAAAAATTTAATTATAGTTTTAATTATTTCAAAGATGAACATAATATTTAATTTTGTATTTACCATGTTTGTTTTGATGTCAGCTTCTTCTTTTTATGAAATTAATATAATCCACAGTTGTTTTCTTAATTTAAAAATGCATATACTTTCTTAATTAAAAAGTTTTATTTACTATTTATTTATTTATTTAAGTTTGTATTAATTTGTATGATGTGTCGAAGGTTTTGTTTCGTGTACGGTTTATTAAAATTTTTATCACAGAATATTGTTTTTATACTCGATTTTATACATACATATTGAGGATTGCAAATATAAATTTATAATTATTTGTCTTATAAGTGCATATATTGTTGTCATTTAATTACATATCAATGATTTCTCATAACTTTTCTGTTTTTTGTACAATTTCTTAATTTCAAAATACGACTTGTCATCCAAACAAAGACAAAACATAGATAATGCAATTTTTTTCTTTTTTGTGGTAAAATACAGTTTATTCCAGATTTGTTCTCAATTTTTTATGTTTTTAAAATACTAAATAATTTTTTAGTATAAATCAAATTTTTAAAGCAAGTAGTGAATATTGTATTTTGTTGGACGTTTTAGTTTAACTATAAGAAACGCGCGCATTTCACATTAAATCAAATTAATTTACTTCTCGAATTATAATCACACCGCTTCTCCATGTGCTTGCTGCTACACGTTTAGTCAATGACTAAGGGCGGGTAATTCAAAATTTTAAAATACTCACAACAAAAAATAAAACTAATAAAATCAATTTGAAAATCACTCAACCAACCAAACAAATACGTATTAGAAATGCATGCGGAGAGCACAAGAAAGCAATTTTAAATGTTGGCACAAGCAGCACACAATTTTAATCTCACTCCACTCCCTATTTTTTATAAATTTTATTGGTTTTGTTTGTAATTATAAACATTTGTTTGTGTTTTATATTGCTACGATATAAATGCTTTATTATTATTATTTGGCAATAAGTTTTTTTATTAAAATTATTAAATAAATTAAAACATAATTATTGTATCCAAACGTCCGACCGCACTACACAAATGTGAGGAACATATTAAATCAAAGAATTGTATTAAAAATATGTTTGACTGCGGAAAGAAGGAAACACTTCACCACCACAAGCAAATGACATCAAATACACTCAACAGCAGCGGCGACGACTGCAGGCACCAAATGAACTAAGCAAAACAAAAAGACGAAAATAATAATAATCATTGTAATTTTATTCGTTTCACACTCAAAGGAATGAGCATAAATTTGTTTTATTTGAATTTTATACTCTTTTTCATTTCTTACAACTGAGCACACAACTTGCTCTCATTGTAATTTTAAGAATATTTCGTTTTTTTTACTGTGATATTGTGTAGAATTATAATTGACAATGTAGTACAATTAAGACTTAACCATGGGTGCCGTTTTTAATGCTTAACCCAATGATGCGATGAGAAGCAAGTTTTGTTTTAACTTGTGGTGTTTGTGCAGACGTAATTATGCAAAAATATATTATTTAAAATATGCAAATAAATATATAATTTTATTAAATCATATATGTATATATGTTATATTGCTTAGCAAAATAATGTTTTAAAGTATAGTAATTAATTATATACATTGTAAATATAAAAAGTTAAACTTATAATATTCATGTTATTTATATAAAAAATATTTGTGCACCATTAAGTATTACATAAAATATGCAAATAAATATATAATTTTCATTAAATCATATATATGTATGTGTAATATATCTTAGCAAAAAAATATATTAAAATATAGTAATTATTTATAAAAAGTTAAACTTATAATATTCATGTTATTTATATAAAAAATATTTGTGCTCCATTAAGTATTACATAAAGTTTAAATCTGACTATTTTACTTTTCTACTTAAAAAAATATTTGTAGCAAAACAAATAATTTATCTTAAAACTTTAGCAATAAATTATGACTTATGAAGCTAATATAATTAGTAAACGTTAGACAATTTTATCGATATCACAAATTGTAATAACTTTCTTAAAGATATGCTGCCGACTTGAGTGCAATCATACATTTTACATTAAACTAAAGCTCAATATATGATAATATTTCGTAGTTTTTAGTATAATACATACACATATTATAATTTATGCATTATTATAATATAATCTAATACCAATATGAACATTATATACTACTATAGTTTAAGTAGCACACAACATTATTCATAACATATTAGGGTTAAAGCGGTAATGCCCTTATAAAGGAAAAATAAAACATTATCTTATACGTATACAAATAAGAAGAAAAAAAACAGATTCAAACTCAACAGTATTTTGAGAGTAATTACTTAACGGCAAATGAGAGAGCAAGCAATTGTGACACTCAGAAAAATGCCAAATGTGCTTATGTATGTCGATTTGTAATGCTTTAAGACGAACAATAATAAAAACAAAAATTGTAAAACGGCACAAAGCAAACGGAAAAACCGGCAAAATAAAATGATTTTTGAGATTTTAAGATGTATGTATGAATTTTGAGTTTTATATGGATTATAGATTTTTTACTTATAAGTCCTTTGAATTATTTTTAAAGCAAAGGAGAACAGAAAAAATAATTCTAGAAATTATATATTAACCAATATGTATTGTATTTTAAAATTTTTTTTATTTTATTTTATTTTATTTTTATATATTATTGCAATTAACACATTTCTCCTTTATCTGAAAAATATTACAAATGTGTTCAAAATGTTTCTTCTTTGTTTGTGTAACATTGCAATTTAGTTACTTCTGTTGTAAACAGCACAGTCGTATTTCACTGTGAGTAAGTTTAGTACAAATTACAATGAATTACGTGGGAGGAACTCATTTACTTTTGCAGATGCTATACATATATATGTTATATATTGTTTTTTTTTGTTTTTAATTCTGTATATACTTATATTTTATTCAGACAAGATTAACTATTTCTTTTTAATTTAACCAAAATATATTATAACACCTGTCAAGGATTAGATTATAATAACTTAGATAAAAATATAACAATAAAAAATAATTCGACTTTATTGAATTTATTTTTGGTTTCTTAGTGCAAAAATTTTAATATAATTTATCTATAATAGTTTTAAATGAACTCCTTAGTTCTACAATTGCTCTTCTAATATTGTAAGCAAGTGTTAATATTTTGATCTCCGTGCTTTGGTACATCAAAAAGTACTATGGGCAACCATAATGTTGAGATTAGGAAAGATATAGATTATGAGAAGTTTTCATTCAACTCCTATAAAATAAAATATGTGTAAATCCTTTGCGCAACTTACGAAGAATATCAAAAGGTCGTACTTTCTCTTTAGATTTGGGTAAGAAAAATAAAATACTCACAACAGATTTTATTACTTAATTTGTATTGTATTTGTATAGTATTCTCTATTGAATTTTAGAATTCCTTCACACTTTCCAAATATTTTTTTTCCACACTAACAAAAAAGTGGAATAACAGTAGTAAAGTCATGTAGTGAGAATACATGCTCCAGCGAGAAAATGTATTTGAAGCGGTAGTTGGAGAAAGAAGACGTAGAAGTAGACTGTATTTTCGATAATATAATGGCCCAGGCGTAGCAGAAACGGCTGGAGAGATATGCTGCGTTAGGCCAAAACTCGGTAACAGGTTGTTATGTACCCATTTAAGTAAGTAAGTTACTTTCTAACTAAAATGAACCATTTTAAATATGTTATATTTGAGTAAGTCACACCTATTACAAATTTGTAAATTTGTTAAATAGTATGTGTTCGAAGACAACTCTTATACAAAAACATTTTTAAATAAACAGTTTTTTAAATAAAAACACTAATAATTTCTGTATTATTTTTATTACAATATTTTTAATTTTATTTTTATATCTAATTTTTTTATTTTTTATACATATGTATCCTATATATTATTATATTATATAGTTTTATCTATATCTCAATTTTTTTTTTCTCGGAAGATTGTTGTATTCAATGTTCATGGTATTTAACTGCTTCAAAGTATTTATTTCACCGCACCCAACTTCTTTAAGAAAGTTCGTAAATACTTTCAAGTCTACTTTGGAAGTAAGCTAAAAGGAAAAAATAAAAGACTCATAATCGTAAGTCGCAATTAAAATATATATCGCATATCTTTTGCGCACAAAAATCAACCTTTATTGTACTCTGCATCAACTTTAACTTAAACTTCATCATCGTCTTCATCAACAACGACGCCTTATCAAAAACGACGCCATATCTCCTAGAACGACTTTCAAATACATTTGCAATATTTTCTACCACTATTAACCATTCATTCGGTTATACTTACTTACTTACTTACTGGCTTACTCTCGTATACAAAAATACAAACTAAATTACAAATTCAATTTATAATTGTTCTCATAAAGCATAAAGTGTACATATGGATGGTTTATATCCTTCCATTATATTTAAACGCACTTACAGGATTTCAAATTTCATCCCTTCACCTCCCTTAATATTACGCATAAGATGCTGATAGGTATCAAATATACTAAAAAAGTTAAATGTACTTAAAAAAATGGCATAAAAGAAAAAATTATAATAATGAAAACCCTTAATGCAGAAAAACCGGGTCTGAGCGCATTAAAATTGAGATGCGGTTGTCCTTTAACTTTGGTTTGTAGTTGTGGAACGAAACTTTTATACACTCTTACACATTTACCCACAACCCCCTTTTTTACTTCATAATTTTAATTTGTACTATGAAATACGAAATAACTAAAACGAAATTGTAATAAAATGAATAAAATGTATAAAACGTTGCGATGTGAAATAAAATCAAAATTCGTTATTACAACGACTAAGAGCACTAAGCACAGTCGAAATCTTCGCTTTTGCGGATTCGCATAGCAGATGGTACAGAAGTGGGTAATTTGGGTTGTATGAGTGCCAATCGAATTTTATGCCCTTGGCCAGTGCTGGTACGAATGACTGTAAGTTGATGATTTCCTTTCTTGTTCAACTAATTTGTCATGTGCTTGAAAATTATGTTGATGATGATTATGAAATAGACGACGTCCTCCTCCACTACAGTTGCCATAAAATACTTGTTATAATTTTTAAGTACGAATATTATAAGTTAGAATAAATTATATATTATGTAT